GAGAGAGAGAGGCAGACAGACAGACAGAGAGAGAGAGAGAGAGAGAGAGATGTTGATAGTAAGAAAAGAATTAGACAGAGAAAGAAGAAATAGACAGAGAGAAAAGACAAGGAAATAAATAGAGAGAGAGAGCGGCAGAGAGATGTAGATAGATAGATAGAAGATATGTATATATATATATATATATATATATATATATATATATATATATATAATATATATATATATATATATATATATATATATATATATATATATATATATATATATATATATATATATATATATATATATATATATATATATATATATATATATATATATATATATATATATATATATATATATATATATATATATATATATATATATATATACGCGAGATTAAGGTAGAAGCATGTATTATCATAAATATGCGACCTGTTATTGCCATGACATCACTGCGCAAAATATCACCATTTTTCATACCGATAAAGTAAATGAAGCTACATTTTAAAACAGCGTCAACCCCGCCCGTGTAATTTCTCGAATGTAAAGAATCCTCCTAAAATACTTAAACCTAAACTTAATTCTTTCCCCAAAAAACAGCAATTCTTTTCATAATTATTTTTTTATATTTATTCTTCTATTTCCTTTTTTAGGGGAGGCAGCATTAATGCCATTATGAAAAGCTAATTTACATAAAGTGATTAAGAACAAATACGCGGGAAAAGAATGCCAAAAAAGTATTGAAAACAAAAAGTAAAATAAAACAAATTAAAACAAATAAATAATGGTTCTGCAACCTTTATACAACGTAAGCACCTCCCCCCACCCCCCACCCACGCCTTTGCACCTACGCCAGAGATACGAAGGTTTGAATAACACTCGCTGTTGTAAAACTTTTCCGGATCCCACGTTTAAACTGTATTTCTCTCTCTGTGTATCTTTTTTTTCTTTTTTCTTTTTCTCTCTATCCGTAATCCTCTCTCTCTCTCTCTCTCTCTCTCTCTCTCTCTCTCTCTCTCTCTCTCTCTCTCTCTCTCTCTCTCTCTCTCTCTCTCTCTCTCTCTCTCTCTCTCTCTCTCTCTCTCTCTCTCTCTCTCTCTCTCTCTCTCTCTCTCTCTCTCTCTCTCTCTTGGTTCTTTATTCTTATTATTAGTTTTGAGTTCACGGGTTGTAAAATACATCAGGGAGAGAATGTGGATTTGCATTCCATACTAGAAAAAGGGTATTTATTTCGCAGAGTAGTCTTTTAATGCATTCATATGTTGTTTATTGTGTTGGGGAGAGTGTGATGTGGAATGAGATAATATAATCCATTTGTATCCAGCCAATTAATGAAACGGCATAATTACTTAGTTAATTAAACCATTCATGTATTTTTACATCTCTCCTTTTTAATTACATCACAAAAAAGGAAAATAACTCACTAATCAGAGGATATTTATCAACCATTAGTTATAGAGATCAGGCAAGCCACCCACCCGACGCGGAAAAAAAATATATATTTTTCCCCTTTCTGATTTTCCTACATAATTTCCATCAACACAACACAAAACAAAACGAAAATCTCAAACAAAAGATAGACCTCGACCATGTCCTACCAAAACAAACCAACCAATTCCAAAACAAGAGAAATTATGATGAGTGCCCCTCCCCCCCCCTCCCTTTTCCCCGCTTTTCTCATCTGATTCCCACGTGTAAGACCCATTTCCCAGGGGTAAACATAGCGTAGAGAATGTGTACATCAGGGGTTCCCAATCTACGGCCACAGGGCACTTTCTAGGGGGCCATGGATCAATATGTAAATTATAACCGAATTAAACTGAATTTTATCTCATCTATATTACCTATATATAATTATTTATCATATATCAATAATCATCTCTCACATATTAATAAATTGGAAGCTTTCCATAAAGAGTTATTATCTTCTAGCTGTTGACACCATTATACTATTGAAACAAGTAATAACTGAATCTGAAAGGACACTGAGCGTGGCACTGGAGATTCTTACATATTGCTTGGGGGCCACAGAATAAAAAAAAAAATGTATGGCGCCACTAGTGTATACATTTCCCCTGCGTATGCTCTCCGAAGCCCACTGGCATCCCTTCCCTAATAGCCTCTCTCCTAGCATATCATTCTGCTCCTGTTTATCATGTTGTTGTTTACTGATTACGTAATAAATGACAAAAGATAGATAAAGTAGATCAATACTTCTTATTTAGAAGTTCAGCGTACAGAGAAACCCATTCTATTTTATTCCTTCCAAAGCAATGGTAAAAACTCTACGGAAATATTACCCACATTTCACTTACTAAACGTAACAAACCGTCGATAGCCACCAACCTTCCCGAATCAACCAATATATCACACATATTATTCTCTTATATCTTACTATTATAAACAATTATATTTATATATTACTATCACAATTACATTCGATTCATTAATCATCCTATCACACTTATTGATTACCCCGATTTTTCCTCATCGTAAGCCTCCTTGTTCCCAGATGTGCCGCAGTTCCGTCTTCATCGTCCTCGGTCTGGTCGTGATGGTCGCCGCCGTAAGCCAGGCCCGCTACCTCCCAACCCGCGCCGATGACTCCAGGCTGGACGAAATCAGGGAACTTATCAGAGAGGTGGGGTGTTTTTTCCTGTGTGTGTGTTGTGTGTGTGTGTGTGTGTGTGTGTGTGTGTGTGTGTTAATATCTCTTTGTTTTATTTGTCTGACTGTGTCTTTGTTTGTACATCTCTCAGTTTTATCTATATATTTATCTTTTCTGTATTTCTTCCTATCTATTTTAATATTGAACATTCAAATTATTTTGAATCTGTCTCTCTCTCTCTCTTCTCTCTCTCTCTCTCTCTCTCTCTCTCTCTCTCTCTCTCTCTCTTCTCTCTCTCTCTCTCTCTCTCTCTCTCTCTCTCTCTCTCTCTCTCTCTCTCTCTCTCTCTCTCTCTCTCTCTCTCTCTCTTCTCCTCTCTCTCTCTCTCTCTCTCTCTCTCTCTCTCTCTCTCTCTCTCTCTCTCTCTCTCTCTCTCTCTCTCTCTATCTATCTATCTATCTATCTATCTATCTATCTATCTGTCTATCTATCTATCTATCTATCTCTCATATTTCTGCCTATCTCTATGTAGGTTTACATGTACCTTACCTATATGGATATATTTGGTCATCAATACATCAACATATCATCAACTAATACAGATTTACTTTTAGTCGAATATGAAAGTAAGAAGCCAGTTGAGCATATGAATTGCAATCACAGATATAAAGACAAATATATACATATGAATAAGAAAGAGAAATCGGTAGGCTAAGTTAAAAAAAAGAAAAAACTAGACCTAATAAAACTTAAGGGAAAAAATATGTGAAATGAATATATAAGATCAACGATAAAGAAGAATTCTGATGAAATAGAGAAAACGTTTTTAAAAGGGAATGATTTTCAGCGCGGGGGTCGGGCATGAGTAAAAAGAAAAGCAATAACGAAAGCCCGGTTTCCCTTGTCCAGACAACCTGGTGTTTATTTTACAGGGTCTAGAAGGAGAGGGAGGACGGAGGAGGAGGAGGAGGAGGAGGTGGAGAAAGAGAAGGATGACGGAGAAGGAGGAGGAGAGGGAGAAGGGATAGGTTGGTGAGGGGGAGGGTAAGGAAGGAGGAGGAGGAAGGAATGGAGGGAGAAAGACACTAAAGGGGTAAAGGAAGACGAGAGAAGAAGAGGAGAGGAAGGATAAGAAGAAAGAGGAGAACGAAAATGAGAAGAAAGGGGTGAGCGAGGATAAGAAAAAAGAGGGAAAAGAAAAAAAAAATAGAGAGAGAATGAGAGGAAAGAAGGAGGAGGAGAAGGGGAATAGTTGAACACCTGACTCCTAAAATACATCTCGAAGACGCACTCAACACAGCGGAGATTCCTTGCATCAGAAATAAGAGGAGAAGGAGATCGTGTTTCTGAAGAGAAGCAGCAACTCTTTCGACTTAAATTTTGACTGTGCTTTCGCCAGCTGACACGTAGCTCAAGGACAAGATTTTTGTTCAGTGCTTCTTGTTTTCGTCCTGATTTTGATTCTATGCTTCTATTTTTATGCTGCTTCATTCACGGGTATTTAGTCTAATGGTGAGGATGACGATAATCATGATGATCATGAATGAGGAGTATGATAATGCTGATGATGAGGAGGAGGAGGAACAGGAGGAGAATAACGATAATGATTATAATAATGATAATGATGATGATGATAAAAATGATAATGATGATGATAATGATGATTATGATAAAGATGATGATCATATACTACTGAATCCTTTATAAAATGTTGCATTAAAATATTATTGGTTTCAGCTTCAACAAATACCAGTATAGGATATTTAATGAATTTTGGGAAAGAAATCCCAACCTTGATAAACTAACCAGACTGAAATGAACACTAAATCTCCCCAAGTTACAATGCACAGACACTGATGTACTTAAATTCAGCATAGGAGGTGTGAGAAGCATTGTACATTTGTGTACATGATAAACACATACATATACATAGACACTATCTGTTTCTCCCGACACAGATAGAAATACACATTCTATATTTCAGTCTTTTACAACACAAGGGAGAAAATGAAGACAAAAACATTTTAGTAAAAAGATTTTAAAAAATAAAAAAATAGAAAACACTTTAGCAAGATAATAACAATGATGATGATAATAATAATAACAACAACAACAGCAATAATAATATAAATGATAATACTACTACTAATAATAATAATAACAATAACAATTATAATAATAATAATAATAACAATGATAAGAAAACCTTAAGGAGACCTAACCGAACTTCCTTTGTTTTCCTTGCAGCTGCTGGAGCGCACAGCAGAAGGAGGCAACAACAGAATGATGGCCAACTCCGGATACGAAAAGCGGTATCTCTTCAAGCGATCTGCAGTCCCCGAAGGCAGCAGCAGCAACAACAACAACAACAACCTCAGCAACCTCTCCGGAGGCGAAGTAGCGACGCCTCTCATCAACCTCCCCCAGTAATTAAGACCCCCCCCAAAACCCCCAAACCCTCCACACACACACACTAAAAGAAAAGAAAAAACAAAAAAATATATGAGAAGTCCCTCTACATAAAAAAAAACCTTCCCTACATATATAATAGAAACTTTCAACGGCCATCAATGTTATCTCAGCCGCGATTGGGTCTAGCTATGTCGTACACACACCCTGTAAACTCTCTGTCATGTTATGTACTGTACTGTATTCATTGTTTGTCATGATCTTTCATTTTCCAACATAATGATGTGAATGTATATATATATATATATATATATATATATATATATATATATATATATATATATATATATATATATATATATATATTATAATACGCATATGTGCACAATTATGAATATGTATACGACATATGTATATGCAGCATATAATCCATGATATCAACCATTTTTTTGTGAGTATGATGAAGAGCTGGAAAAATAAACGGAAATAAAGAGAATGAAAATCCCAAAAGCTCGTGGTGGTGTATTTCCTCTCGTACCGGCGATAAGCGGCCGATTTGCTTGGCCTACTCACCGCACTCTGGCTCGACTTGCCATGAATTCTTTACGTCTTAGGGTCATCTTCCTCTTTTTCGTATCTTTCTTTCTTCTTCTTCTGCTTCTTCTCCTTCTCTGTCTTCTTGTTCTTATTCTTCTCCGTGTTCTTCTTCCTCTTCCTCTTCTTATTCTTCTCCTTCTTCGTCTTCTTTTTTCCTCTTCTTCTTCTTCTTCTTCTTCTCCTTTATCTATTCCTTTCTTGCTTCCTTTCTTCATTCCTCCATTTTCCTCTTTCGCTTTCATGTTCGAAAGCCTTCTTCTTTCTTCTTTTCCTCGTTTCTCTTCTTCTCTTCCTCCTCTTCCACATCCTTGTCTTCTTCCTCTTCTTTACCCTCATTTCCCCTTTTCTACTTCTCCCTTCCTCTCTCCCCGTTCATCTCTGCTTGGTCAGGTCGATAAAGCTAGCGATTAAGAGAATAAAGGAAACAAATAATAAAAATAAGAACAGATAAGAAGAGAAAGAAAAGATTACATCCTTTTATTTCTTTCTTTTGTTTGTTTAGATCCAAAGATTTTCGAAGGACAGAGAATCGGATCCTCTCAGTAGGAACAGAGGGTTCATGACCTGATAAACCCTCTTCGATTCCATTTCGATAATTCTATGTATTTATTTATTATCTTTCTTTTTTTCCTTTCTGCATCTCTTTCTATGATTATTTTATTCCTCTTTTCAATTTCGCAGAAGAGGTTCCGGATAATATGCCGTGAGCGGGAGAGAAAAACAAGAGAGGATTTAAAAAAAAAAAATTCTTCTTTTTTTTTTACTTCCTGAGAGGTGATGTTCTCCGACTTGGAGTCCCTTCCCATGAATCCAAAATGTCTTGTTATAACAGAAAGAGGGAATGATTTTTTCCATTATTTATCATCATCAAGACCATATAACTGACAAAAAATTCTTACACTTAGAAAAAAGTGTAATCCAACGAACAGACACCAAAAGCTAAAACAATAAGCTTTCCCAACAATCTCGATATTAAAAAACTTCTTTAAGAAAAGACATAAAAAGTGAACAGTAAAAAAAATAGTCCAAACACCTCCACTTTCAAATATCTCTCGCGCGGGACCTGCGTGTCCTCAGCAGGCCACGTCCCGCTGCGCACTGAGGACAAGACCGAAGAGCGGGACCCTCGCAGACGGGGAGGTCGCTTAAACACCAAACCTGAGGGAAATCCTGGCCTTCGGGTGAGCGCGGGCGAGGAGCGAAATGAGAGAGAAACTTTATATCACTTATTTTGAATCACTGGTACTGTTGCCTTTGTGAGCGAACTTGTATTAAGATAAATAAAAGATGAACAGGCTAATGATGGTAGATACAGGATATGCATTTGCACATATGTATTGGTATATGTATATGTGTAGATTATATGCATACATGCATATATATATATACACACAGTTTTCTTCGTTTTACTCATAGCAAATAATGTGTACGAGTGTGTACTCATTTTCCAAAGTATCATGCAGGCGTTTGGAGAGCAGGTGTGCTGGGGACAATTTATGGAAGTATACCTGCTTGCATGAGTGATGTGCAGCGCGGCCGTTAGACAAATGGTTTTTTTACACCTGTCCTCCAGAGTATCATACATGTGTGTTGGTTTTCCAGGCCACCGAGGAACAGGCGTCTGGAGCCCCAACACTTGCATTCATAAGCCATCCAGGGTCCTCTTGATTAGGAAAAGAACATTTTAAGTTGGTGTTATACTCGGCAATGTCATGCAGAATTCTCAGCGGCGCACCATAAGTTTGCAAGATGTTACTTGCTCTTTGTTGCAAGGAATACAGTGACCACACTGTTGCAGATTTCGAAAATTGAAGGAAAAATAAAAGTTATGGTGTGTGGTGTTGCAAACTAACTGTGGCATGTCTGAGGTAGTGTGTGCTGTAACCATTATCATAATA